AAAATTAAAATTAAAAATATAATTAATTAAAATTTTAAATTTAAAAAATTCATTAATTTTAGTTAAGTCATTTTATGTTAACTCAATTCAACCCTAATCCAACCTAATCAAATTCAAAAAATTTTAATTTTCATCATATTAAATTTTAAATTAATACCTTAAATTCATGATTTTATTTATAGTAAATGAGTTGAATTAAATCTTTAGATTAGATCCAATTTTACTAAGCCCATCTTACAACAAAAAATAATAATAACCTTATTTAAAATGAAATGAGTTTGGATTTTCTTTAATGCTCCATGTGTTTGGATTACAACAGAGCAAGAAAGTGGTAGGAGTGGATGATGGCGGACAATATGCATGAGCACTGCACATTTTATATACTTCTCAAAAATCCGTTTTGCTTTATCATGAAGCAATGAAAGAGGCTGCTCTCCTGTTTCGTGGAAATGGTTTATGAGAAGGAAGTATAAGGAAAATCTTTATTGGTTTCCTGCCGTTTCCTACCACTAACAACGTATTCATTCATTTTTAATAAATTTAATTTAATTATTTAATATTTAAAATTTATATTTTAAAAACTAAAAAATTAAATTGAATTTATTAAAAAAGAAAAAAAGAAAGAGAGTGTTGTAACAGTAGTGTTTTGTATTTTTGTTGTCGGAAACGAGTTAAATCATGGGCCCTGGGCTGGTTACCGACATGGGATGAGCGTTAGTCTAGCGTGCACAAGGGATTCTATCTCTTCCCCGTGTGTTCGCTGGTGGATAATGACTTTGTTTTAGTAAGAAACAAATTTCCATCTGTATGTTAGTAATAACAAAAAATAAAATTTAAATTTAAAATTAATGATATAATATAAGTTATATTATTTAAAATATTAAAAAATATATTTTATATTATTTAATAATTAATTTTTTATTTTTATAAAATTTATAATATTATATATATTAATTAATTTAATAACATGATATGAATTATATTATTAATTTTTAAAATTTTATCCTAAATTTCTGTTCTCCCTATCGATCGTTAATGAAGTCATATAGAATTTTACATTCATTTTTTTCTTCAACGTTCGCTGGAAATGGTGGTCCTGGTGGAGAATGACTTTATGGTCCATTTCTTAATGAAGTCAGAAAAGCCTTTACCTCCAATTTTTTCTCTTCAACGTTCGCTGGAAATGGTGGTGGAGAATGACTTTATGGTCCGTTTCTTAATGAAGCTAGAAAAGCACATGAGGCAATACCAATCCCCATAAGTCCACATAATGGTCAACCTGGCAAATATCATTACCCTTATTTTTATTTTCTACACTTAATTTGTTCTTTTTTATTGAATTTAGTTATTCTATTTTATTTATAATTGTTAAAAAATTTATCTATTATAATAATTAAAATTTATTTTTTATTTTCATCTTTATTTATAATTAAATAAAAATATTGTAACACATTTTTATCTTTTTGCAGACAAGGTTAAAATTAAAATATTAATATTTACAATAATGATAAAGAGAATAAAAGTTTAAAATTAATGACATGACATAAATTATATTAATAAATTTTTTGATATATATAATATCATAAATCTTAAAAAAAAAAAAGCAAATCGTTGAATAATATAAGGTTTACTTTTTAATATTTAAAATGACATGATTTATGTTAAGTCATTAGTTTTAAATTTTTGTGCTATTTATTATTATTCTAATATTTAGTGTGTTATTTAAATAGAAAGTAGAATAATTAAATGAAATCACTTTTATTTAAAAAATAAAACAACTAACAGTGCGTTTGGAATTACTGTAAAATGTTATGCCTATAATTGTAGTTGTAATTGTATTGAACTGTACTGTATTATATTTATAGTTGAAAATTATTTTAGTATTTAATTATTTATTTTTTAAAAGTATTATAGAT